CACCCCACGCTCCCATTCAGCACCGTATCAGTATAAATCCTTCTTCTGACCTACCAAATCCCTCCCCAAAAAAAACCCTCCATGCCCTCGCCCCCCAATACCTGTCTGACCTTCTCCGCCACCACACTCCATCCCGGAAGCTACGATCGTCTGGACAGGATCTCCTCTCTACCAACCGCACCAGGTTGCTGACTTTCGGTGACAGAGCTTTCAGTGTAGCATCCCCCACCCTCTGGAACTCTCTCCCCCCCGAAATCCGCAGCGCCCCAACCCTGGACACTTTCAAAAAAGCCCTCAAAACGCACCTTTTCACCAAGGCTTTCCCCACTATATAGTTGGTTTGATAGGTTTATTTTTCCGCTACTTGCTTGCCCCCCCCCTAACCTGTCTGCCTCTTTTCCCCTACTCCCCCCCCTACCCGACTTGTAAAGCGACCTTGGGTTTCGTGAAAGGCGCTATATAAATATTATGTATTATTATTATTATTATTATTAAAAAAGTTGAAGTTGCTGAACATTTAGGCAGAAAAAAGAATTCCCCTCAAGCAGCTTCTTTGGACCTGACAGAAATGTGGATGAAATTACCGACAAAAGGTCAAAAAACAAGGGTGTCCAGTGAAGTGACATTTAGAAGGTGTTTCAACAAAGTTGTTCAACAAATAAAAGGTTAACCGGGTCACTTCAACTTAACTCTGGTCTTGTCCAACACAGCCCCGGAAAAATACACTGTTCCTTGCTGTGGAAAGTTCAATTGAGTTCTTCTTAAGAAAAAAATCACTTCTGTTAACAATTAGGTCTGTGGATCTTACAAGGTACCAGTGACCTTGTTTCTAAGAAAATATATGGCTGTAGACATGTTTAAATCTACATTTTTAAGATTTGAGCAGCATTCCCTTTTTTAGGCGATTTGGTTTAGTCTGGTTGTGTATTTTTTATCCAGTCAATGTGACACACCTATACCTAAGATGTTTTGTTCTTAAACTGATCAAGTTAATGGAATCAGAATAAGTAAATCTAACATATACAATTACAGGGCCCTTGTTTTTGACAAGACACATGGCTACTGAGGTTTTCAAATCTATATTTTCTAAGATTTGAGCAGTGCAAATCAAATATAATTCTATTTGTAGGCTGATTGATTGGTTGATTGTGTCTGGTTGTATATTTTATATTCAGTCAATGTGACATACCTATATCTGTTTTGTACTTACTGAGTAAGTAACTGATTCTTAATAGCATCAAAGTCAATACATCTCTCATATAAAATTACCCACTTTCTTGGCTCATAGGAAGTGTTAAGGACCTTGTTTCTGAGAAAAAAGTTTTAAAATCAACATAATTTAAGATTTGGTTAACCCCATGCTTTATGGCATCAGAGTAAATTAATATAACCTACACAATTACACAGTTCCCTTGGCCAGAATTTGTGAAATTGCACAGTGTTTCTCTTCTGTCCCACAGCTATTTTATGCTCACAGTGTCACTGTTCAAGTTACTGCTCCCCTAACTTGTGTTGTGTTTACTCTTTATATATCTCCTCTGTCAGCGGACACAAGAAATCAATGGGGGTCTCGTTTCGTAAAAGCACACACACACACACACACACACACACACACACACACACACACACACACACACACACACACACACACACACACACACACACACACACACACACACACACACACACACACACGCCTGGGATATCTGGAGAGCCTGGTGTGAGTGTGACCTCCCCACTGTCAGATTCCTTCGACTGTCAGACTGCATTTCAGTCTGCCAGGTGGTTGTGACCCGTCTTGGGGGTGGGTGGCCCGTTCCAGAGGCTCAGGCTGGGGGGGTGGGGGAGTCTGGGGGATTGACAGTTCAAGTGCAGGTTACATTGCATTCACAGCATAGGGGCAAGAATCTGCCGGGGATGCTAGGAATAGTGTTATTGATAGTTGTCTCAGTCAATTCCACTGACTTATCTCATCTGCAAATGCAATACATACTAAACTGATGAGGTTTGTCACGTTTCTTTATATAGAACCTCTTCATAAAGGCAATTTAAAACCAGTAAAGGATATTTATTGCTTACTAGTAGGGGCGTCTGTGGCCCAGGAAATAGATAGTTGTCCAACAGTGTTAGATCCCCACCTTGTATGGCAGCCCCTGTCTCCGTATGAATGCGTGTGAATGCTGTCTTGTAAATGTAGAAGCTCTTTCAGGGGTCCCAAAGACTGGAAAAGTATTTCATAAATGCAGTGTATTTACCATTCAGACAGCCAAAGCTTTTCATTCCCCAAAATGCTTGCCGCTGTGAAAGCAGGACCAACTACTTTCTGTCCTTCCCTTGTCAGTCGACCTTTAATAAGAGAGCTTGGCTTATAGTATTTTGAGCAGTGTGATGCCATTGGAGAAGGAAACAGGCTATTTCAGGACGGTGTACTGTTTGTGTATTTTCATGTGCATGGACTTTAGCTCCATGTTGTGTGGCGGCAACATTTGCCCTGACGTTGCATCACAGTAAACCATCTGTCTTCTCCTTGTTATGACTCACATTTGACTTCTGCTGATTTTTCTCAGGTATTCTGGTCAGGTGTTGTGTAGTTAACCGTGCTTAACTCTAGATATGCAGACACTAAACCGTGACATTGATTCATCCTTGCAGAGTCCTTGTATAGTAATGAAAAAAAAGCAAGTCAAAAGCAGGAATGCCAGTGAGCAAATATAATACCTTTGTTAATCCTTTATCTAAACCTGCGTGTCTCACCTCTCTCCACAGTTCCTCGGAACCACGATCGCAACACCGTCCTTGGCGTGGACTTTGACATTGAGCTCGGGAACACGGCAGAAGAAGCCAAGGACGACCCAGGTAAACACAACACGTTAGACGGAGACAATCATCCAAAGCCCTGCTCATAGCAGACGGTAGCCTTCAAATGATGATGGACGAGCCACATTTACCACGGGCAAATGAAACTGACAATCAACGCCTGCAGTGGTTGCTCGCGAGGCGACGATATTACAGTTACCAGATGTGTTTTGATAGGCCTTCCACCGGGAGGCGACACATGACATCTGGCCGTTTCCTTTTAAATGATGGCTCACAGCCCAGATCGTACCGCAAACCTTCTCCACTTTACATATTACGCTCGCTTGATTGCTTGACTGCTTGAAAGATGAACCTTTTGAAGCAAATCAGAGCTCCACTCATAAGCTCAATAGTACATAGTTTAGAGTTCCTTCAGAAACAACAAGAAAATCGCTTTTGTGAAAAGACAGCATTTTATGTCACATTTGCTGGCTCTGTGATTTATTGATGTCAATGGTAGGCAGATTAAATTGCCTAATGGTTTAGTCGCGTTTTTATTTTGGTTCACGGTGCATCATTTGCTATGCTATGTCAAGTGAAAGGCATTTTCATTGGCTCAGAAAATGAACTGAGAAGTGTTTTGCGGTAGCTGTTTTCAGGGATAAAATGATGGATGCTTTTCTTATCTCCAAACCAATTTGTACAGCCATGCATGGATGATACCGCAACAGTTATATCGGCATTCCCTTAATGTTATCGTCTAGGCATCATCGCTGGGAAAGAAAACATCAGTCATTGAATATTAACACCGTTTGTAACTAGAGTGTATTTTTATCGTGGAGGAGGGTAGCCATACAACAGGCTGTATGTAAAAGTACACTCTCTCTCCTAAACACACACACACACAGTAAGATCAATTCATGCAACATTAAATGTGTGTTTTTTAGATGAATGCATTCCCACTTGTGATCTATGCAGTTCCACTTGATTTTTCCCTAATGAAAACAACAGCACAGCAAATGTTTACTTTTTCCTGTCTCATCATGCTCGACAGAAGGAGCTTCAACAGTCCTCTTGCTCCCGGTAACGTTACAGTCACACAGCAGGGTTCCTGTGGAGCATCACAGAGAGCCCAATGAAACCTCTTTGCGTGTGTGTGCATCCTCTACTTCTCTGAAAATTGTGTTTTATTCCCTTTAGAGTCGGGGTATCTGAGCTGCTCCTTTGATGATGGTCTTTGTGGTTGGATCAGGGACAAAGACGGAGACCTGCACTGGGAGACGACGCCTGATCCGTCCGGTAAGTGAAGGGACATTGATATGTAATAAGAATAGCTGCTTTCCTTTACTGACAGGCATATATATATATGCAAACACACACACACACAGTCAGACAATATAAGCAGCTCAATTCTGTTCAACTCAATTAAAGGTCAAGAGGAAAATTCCCTGTGGGAAGTAGTCTGTCTTTCATGCGGATTAGTGCTTCGCTCTACAAAGCAATGCAAATGAGAAGTGGATTACGTGACCTGTCAGCTTTACCTGTGACTCACATTAAATGGAAACACAACACTGTTTTTCTTGGGGTTCAGACAAGAAGAAAGCGTGATAAATTATGTTGAGCGGACTCAGTAGACGGCGTGTGAAGACTAAACAGTGCAGCGTACTGGCACTACTCTTTAAGCGACGCTAACTACATCTGGCTCTCTCCGCCAATTGGCGTAGTCTTGCAGTTACTCGTGTGTTTTCAGACACTGAGACTGAAGCCTCATTTCAGCCAAGACTGCGCTCACTCATTACAGAAAATAAAGGTTTTTGCCCAGACATTTACATTCACTTGAAAAATCACTGACAGTAAATCGTAAACCAAGCCCTAATTAAGAGTAATTCCAAATGTTAGAGGCAACACTTCAGTTTTGAGTTACATGTAGTGAATACATTTAAACAGAACATTTTAAGTGTCTTAATTATGGATTTCTGTGTGTACAGTGTGCACCTGTACATGGCTTTAAATACATCTTCATTGTGTTGTGAACATATACAGTCTCTGGTTGTGAAGCATGCACTGTTCCTCACTTACAGTCCTTTTGATAGACAGCCACTACAGTAGCACAGATACAGAAGGGGCTCATAAAGTATGCAGAGAGCCTCTGTGGCCTGCAGATACACATCGAACCCCCCGTGGTTAACAGCAGCCCCACACGGATCTGCTAGATAAGCATAATGCATCAGCATTAATCAGCTGTTTCCCAGGAGCACTTTAGCCTTTCATTTTTCAGAACTATATCGCGGCATTATGACTAACTAATGCATAAATTAATTTTAAAACAAAATAAATGTGCCACTGGCATCTGGCTTCACTTTGAGGTGACGAAACACAAGTCTTTTTGAAAATATGCAGTTTTTTTTCACAGATTGTCTTTTACACTTGGCTGTCAATAATGAAATATAATGTTATGTGTTTTAGACAGACTGACTTATCTCACTAATTACCTTTTTAGATACACTTGTTAAAGGGTAAATTCGCCAAAGTAAAAACATTTTATTTTTATTTTCCGTTTCTGGTTTGGCTGGCACCCAAATACAATAAGGTGAAAGGGTTTTGTCACTCAAACAATACAACAAAAATATCCTGAGCCAAAAGGGGATCCAGGTTTTAAATCCAGCCTGGGACCATCGCTGCATGTCATCCCCTCTGTCTCTCCTTTCAACCCTGTCTATACAATAAAGGCAAATCTTTAAAATAACTAAATAAAATACTGCAAGTTCACAATACTTCAACAGCATGAAACGTCTTCACTGATTCAGGGCGATCACAGACCTCGTCGTCAACAGTTTGTGGACTGTTCCTGAAGTGGTAGTAGCTCCAATTAAAAACTGTTCATATTGAGGTCTGTCAATTACCCTAGAACAAATATAAGTATAAAGTGTTCACGGAGAGCTACTTATTTTTGTAATGCCGTAAACATCACAAATACAAATTCACTCACTAATTTCTGCTGGGTTTTCAGCAACAAACCAGACACAGATAACCTCTGTAAATAAAACAACAACTCTCTGTATGGCTTGATTTCATTGGGTAATGGAGAACATATGTTATTTTGGTTTGTTTGTTTGTTAGGGTGAACCAATGCCCTTTAATTAATGAGACATGGTGTCATTTGTTTTCCATTTTCAATCCATTTTGTATCAAATTGAGGTCAATATTTTTTGGATCAGTAAAAGCCAATTAAAATCAATTTAGAAAGGTTCTCAATCCATTAGGCATATGTGAACAAACTGGTGTGTATTACAAAAAATTTGTAGTTAATTCTGAAAAATATGTGCAATCAGGGCTGGAATGTTTCAGTGCTACATTTACAGGAGCCAGTGTCATCAACGTATTCAGTGTTGACCTTATTGACTAAAGCATTTTATTCTGTGTATATTGATTTGTTTAAATGTCTCCTATTATACTGTTTTTCATCAATATATTATAGGTCTCAGATATATACAAAACATGTCTCTGAAGTTTTTGGCTCCAAATACCAAACAGATCATTGTAGCATTACCCATAATCCCCTCTGTTTCAGCCCTGTTTCAAAAGTGCTGATTCTCTGTCTGTTACTTTAGATGAAAATAAGGAGCCCCTCCCCACGCCCCTCTGAGAGATATTTGGTTTAAAAAGAACACTATGGTGCTCTAGGAGGAGATTCAGGTGACAAGGTGGGGGGGGTACCTTGGTTGGTGATTGGCTAATGGTTACACAAGCCAAAAAAACGTTATGACATCATAAAGTGGCCAAAATCTGATCAGGTTTTTAGTGGCCAAAATCTGACAGGTTGATGTAGAAAAGACATGAAAATGTGGATTTTGCATAATAGGTGACCTTTAAATCTGTTGCTTCTCTCTCCAGGTGGACGGTACCTCACCATTCCCGAGGTGGGCAAGAAGAGGACAGGGCGGGGGGCGCGGCTGGTGCTCCCCCTCACCCCCCCCTGGAACGATGGCAACCTGTGCCTGTCGTTCAGACACAAGCTGGCCGGCCATCACGTGGGCATGCTGCAAGTGTTCGTGAAGAAAGGGAAACAGTACAGCCCTGCAGTCTGGGGCCGGACGGGGGGGAATGGCTGGAGGCACACCCAAATCACTTTATGGGGCACCGGCTTGGAAAGTGTAAGTATAAATATTTCAGTGTTCACTCATACAGGGAGAATTTTAAATGATTATTTCAACTTTTTTGACAGAATGTTGAATGTTTTTTTCCCGGTTTATAAAAAATAAATCTGAGACGTAGAACAAAAAAAAAAATGTATCTGTGAAATATAAGATTGACATCTGCTTCGGGAATAAACACATGCAGCTCCTTTTTCATCATAAAGCAGCATGTTCTCTGTAGCAGTGGTGGAAGTAGTACTTCAATAAAAGTAGCCATACTACATTTTGAAAATACTCTGTTACAAGTCAAAGTACTGCATTCAAAATCCTTCTAAACTAAAAGTACAAAAGTATTAGCTAAGAAAAATATGTTTAATACACAAAGTATAGTCGATTTCAGAGTTGCTTAGACAGTCAAATGAATGTAGTGTTGTAAAGAGTACAACATTTGCCTCCAAATTGTATATTCGTGGAAAAATACAAGGTAGCATATTATTAAAAGGTAGAAGTTCTTCAAATGTATGCTTAGTAGCAGTTGCTTTTTTAAATGTATCGGCTTATTTCATAAACAGATGCACTTTGCTCAGAATCTAATCTTATATTTTGACATGGCAATCACAACAAGCAAAGAAACAAGAAAACAAGAAAATAACTTTGAAAGAAAAAGTGGAAGAAATATATTACTGTTTGGAAAATCTAAGCAGTAATATATGTATAGTTAAATTAAAGCTGATTACAAAGCAACGACTCATACAGTTCATATCCCGTCATGGGTTAAACAAACATAAGAATGATTTCACAAACATACATTCATACACACTTACATACCCCTGTTCCAAAACATACATACACACTTACTTGTACACTTATACATATATATATATATCCATATAGCCTAACATTTAGCGAGTCAGCATTACTGCTATATGGATATATATATATATGTATAAGTGTACAAGTAAGTGTGTATGTATGTTTTGGAACAGGGGTATGTANAAGGACTTATATACTAATAAAGGACTGGCTTATCTAAAGCCAGTTGAGAAGCACTTGAAATGTTTTAGCTCTATGAAACCTGATGTACTTATATGATTCTGTTTTCTTCAAGTTTGTATTTTGTTGGTCGAATGCATAAAAGCGTCAGCTAAATGTAATGTAATGCAAAAAACAAAAATACAAATTAAATGCTATTTTTTAACTGACTATTATTTCTATTGGGGCTAAAGCACAAACATGTTTTCCTCTTCTCCAGTGCATGCTGATTGTTTCAGTAATGCTGACTCGCTAAATGTTAGGCTATATGGATATATATATATATGTATAAGTGTACAAGTAAGTGTGTATGTTGTTTAACCCATGACGAGATATGAACTGTATGAGTCGTTGCTTTGTAATCAGCTTTAATTTAACTATACATATATTACTGCTTAGATTTTCCAGGAAAATCTAAGCAGTAATATATGTATAGTTAAATTAAAGCTGATTACAAAGCAACGACTCATACAGTTCATATCTCGTCATGGGTTAAACAACATACANTGTGTGTGTGTGTGTGTGTGTGTGTGTGTGTGTGTGTGTGTGTGTGTGTGTGTGTGTGTGGTGGGGGGGGTCAGTGATGGCCCAGGCAGAGGGAGGGTATTTCACAACAGAGTCAGTTCTCTTTGAGATGATTTCCCCTCTCGTTCTGCCTCTTAGAGTCCTGTCAGTCAGAGTCTCCTCAGGTTGTGCTCCTCTGTGCAGGAGCCTTTCCTCAGAGTGATGTCGTCCACGGCCATCTCTCCACTCCGGCCCCGCCCACGCTCCCCCTTCAGGATCACCTGGGGAACAGCAGGAGTGAATATTGCAAAAAACTCAAAACTAAAATACAAATTAAGTGCTGTTTTTTTTTTATTACTATCATTAATATTTCATGTTTTCCTCTTCTCCAGCAACACGCACACTGAGGAACTGCAGGAGAGAATATTGCAACACATTTTTTTTTTAAAAAGGCACTTACATACTAACAAAGGACTTATATACTAATAAAGGACTGGCTTATCTAAAGCCAGTTGAGAAGCACTTGAAATGTTTTAGCTCTATGAAACCTGATGTACTTATATGATTCTGTTTTCTTCAAGTTTGTTTGCATTTTGTTGGTCGAATGCACTTATTGTAAGTCGCTTTGGATAAAAGCGTCAGCTAAATGTAATGTAATGCAAAAAACAAAAATACAAATTAAATGCTATTTT